ATTATTAGTATCATCATATATCATCATACACACACACCCACACACACACACACAAATATATATATATATATATATATATATATATATATATATATATACGATATAAATATATGTATACATATATTTATAAAGTAAATATCAAATATATATTTATATACACATGCATATATATATATATATTTTTATTATTATATATATATATATATATATATAACAATAAAAATAAAACAGTAACATTAAAAACAATAATATTAATAGTAATATCAACAATAACAACAACAACAACAGCAATAGCAACAACAACAACAAAATCATTACTACAGACAGACAAATTCTCATACAAAGTATCTACAAGCACAAACGGCAGTCGTAAATAATCAAGCCCTAGCAAGACATTGAACCAACACCAGATAACAACAACATCAACAAAACCAGCTAACAACAATACCTGCTAACTACAACAACACCTGCTAACAACAACACCAGCTAACAACAACAACATCAAGAAAACCAGCAAACAACAACAACAACAACACCAGCTAACTACATCAAGAAAACCAACTAACAACAACAACATTAGCTAACAACAACAACACTAGCTAACAGCAACAACAACACCAGCAAACAACAACAATAATAATTACAATATAACTACTACTACTGCTAATAATAATAATAGACATTTATATAGAGCTTATTTGACGTGGATGGATGTTCAACCAACGAATTAGACATCAAGCTGACATCTAAATGACGTTTGTTGTTGCACCAAAGATAGCACACTCTTTTTTATTTAATTTCTCTGTTTTGTCTTTGTAGTTGCGAAATAGTTTTTTCTGTGTTATTATTTGTTTCATTCTGTAATGCGCGTGTTTGTGACAATTTATGGGCGTGTGTTTTGTTTGTTTGTGTGTGTGTGTGTGTGTGTGTGTGTGGTGGGTGTGTGTGTGTGTAATGTTTTCAATTTGTTTTTCAAAACCCATTTTTTAAAGCATTAAAGTAATTTGTAATTTTCAAACGGAAATTTAAATTGAATATTTTATAAAATTGTTTAAGAAAATTATCACCGCAAAAACAAAAAAAAATTAGAAATAGAATAGTAACACGTGCATCTAATAGGCGAGACCCGGTAGACGCATTACGAAGTCTTCAAACAACTGAACCACAAGCAAACATAAAAAACATGACGAATAACCAACAGAATCTTTGTTATCTATCTAATTGTGTGCAATTTATCACACTATTGTAGAAAAAATCACTTTTTCAATTGCATGATCATAAAAGTGTAAAAGTTAACTTAAGGTAACAAAAAACATAAGATAGCTATATACGAGTGTTTCTCCATATGATGAATGCGTAATGATAGGACATTTAGATAACAGTTTCGTAAGCTATATATGCACACATACAAGCCTACACACACACATAAATATGCAAACACACGCAAACACAAAAATGTATTTGCATTCATTTCAATAGAAAAATGATCAACCAACGTGATATCTAAACGTAATGGAAAAAAATGGATCAAATGTACACAAGAATGTATGGCTCTATTTTCTATTCTTCGTTATTTGTTGCAAATAATGTGCGTAAATGTACAACACACGCATAGATATATGCGTAAATATATTAACATAAAAATCTTGATATATGTTAACCTCTAATAATCCATAAATACCTAAATACCTGAGAAAGGAGCGTGCTGCGAGCCAATGAGTATTTCATTGTATTGCATTGCAGAGCGGTACTCTGCGGTATTTATGAAAATTTAGAGGAAGGAGACAAACCAGAGGACAATCAATCATTGGTAGAATAATCTTCGAAAGCGCTCCGTACAACTAATTGAACAAGTGTTTGTATGATACACTGCCTACCTACCATCCGACTGTCTCGACAACAGTGAGAGAGAGTGAGAGAGAGTGAGAGAGAAAAAACAACGAAAGAGATAAAAAGAGAAAATGAGAGACATAGAGTGAGAAAAAATATATGCCAACGTACATACTCTTATGAACACCTTAAATGAATGTGTTAATCATACTCTCTTATATAGCAAAAGTTAGCATTGATTGTATCAAATCTTATCTAATCAAACACATCTATTATAATATCAAGTTTGTTCACAGGTAAAAACAAATATAATTAAGTTAATTTTTTATAGTGTTATTAATATTGTGTGTGTCTACGTATGTATATACGTGTTTTTCTGTTTCAGTATTTAAAAATATGAAATTTTTTGCTGGTATTGCACATGTTGAGGCACCCACCAAACTATAATACATTGCTGGTTTTATATCTTTCTGCTGTACATTCCCACCAAAGCAGCAGACTAATTTACGTTAGCATTTTTTACGCATTCAGTTGTTTCCAGTATCATTTTCATCTGTTTAATACACCATGTCTATCTGCTACTACAGATTGAAATCCATGAAGTTAAAAAATGTTTGTCTGTTCTATTTTCATCATACATGTATTTTTACCAACGAAATGTATTATTTGTAATAATTTTCAACAAAACAAACTACATCTTCTAAGTGGTACGTCAGTAAGAGTTTGATTTTTTTCAAATAAAAGGCAATTTCTCAGAATTCAACTCCACAAGGTAAGCCTTACATTGCAGCAAAACATTGACGATTTTAAAGAAAAAATTACTTGCTTGCGTATTTCGCACTCGAAACTCCATATTGGATTGTCATTTTATATAATTACGGTTGTGGGGAAAATTAAATTACACAATTTTGCAACAAATTTACACCTAAGAAAAATTCATTCTAAATGAATTTTCAGATAGGGATATTTTTTACTAATTGGAAAATTTTGAAACAAGATCAAAATTATTTACAGACATTTTCCATTTTGATATTTCCATTGAAAAATACAAAAAAAATATAAAAACAACAACAACCAAGCAAGTTTAACAACCGAACGAAATTTATACAAAAAACGGCGCGAACAAACAAAACCAAACAGGTTTTTACAAATCAGATAATACCACAAAAACCGACTCAAAAAACAACAAACAACAATGTTATTGATATTGTTTGATGCATTATATATATATATATTTATATGTATATATAAGCGTGTGTGTGTGGTGTGTGTGTGTGCATGCGTATGTGTAAGTTTATGTCAGCGTCAGTTACAATTAAGTAATACACAGGAAAAAATTTAGCTAACCCAACTAAATAAAATCTAAGAAACACCCCAAAACCAACAAACAGCAACGAAATTAGAGAAAATAACGACAAAACGACAAACCGAACAACAACAAACAATAAAAAAAACAAACATCTAACTTACAAACGATCAACAAACTGCAAACGTCAAACAAACAACAACGGACAGCAACAAACAGCAACGAACTCCGCAACAGCAACTCGGAAATTCTCATTTTTACGATTACGACGATGAGCATGGACGCGGTTTGTGAGCCAGGAAAATAGAAGTCAATTACAGAGATGCAAACAGTAAAGCAACATAAGAGGGCCGAACGCAAAATCTGTACGGCGATATTAATTGCATTGCTTGCAAAATACAACGACATAAAAGAAGAAAAATTCTGATCGCGACAAAGAAATGAGAAACTGTAATGACATCAGAGCTGCAATGAATTCAATAAATTTGAGAATGCGATATCGTAAAAATGTAATTTAAAATAGCGTGTGAATCAGCGCTATAAAAGTTGTAATGATTGTAACAACAGCTGAGAAATAAAAAGTAAATGAACAATTTCAATATTTATACCAACTGCAGCAAAGGTATTTTGGAAAAAAATTCAAACACAACATCAAAATCAGTGAAAACTACAACAACACCAAGACCAACAACATTAACACTCTTCATAAAAACAACATTAACAACAACAGCAACAACTGCAACATCATAACAACAACAACTACAACAACTACATCATCACAACAACAACAGCAACCACTACAACATCATAACAACAACAAAAGAAATTAACACAACAACAACCATGAGTAACAGCACAAGCAACAAGAGAACCAGAGAACATCGTCCTAATATCAAACGCATCTCATCTTATAATAGTTATTTTATTAGGCACATCCAACCTATACACGGACAGATAAAGAACGAAAGAAAATAAAAAAAGTAGATAGAGAGAATGAATAAAAAGTATGAGACGCCAAGTAAAAAATTAAAAATAAATATATGGGACACTAAAAAAAACTGTCTGACACTAACTGGAAATTATAAAGTTTTAAATGAAATAAAAACAAAAAGACTGAAAAATTTTGAAATACATTTGATGAAACTAGGTGTGGAATCAAATGTAGATGCTTTCGTATATACAAACATATCGTTTTACGAAAACATTAGCTACTAGCTAACCATGTCAAAACAAATATTTTTAATAGAAATAAGTTGTTTAACAAGAAAACTGTGATCGTTTCAGTTTTGCTATCTTTTACATACAGCAAGCACAACTTTTAAAAACGAAAAACAAGATGCCCATCATGTTTCTTTATGTTCTTTTCATTGTGTAGACAGTCATGTTCTAGTTAGAATTTCAAAAAATTAAAATAATTTCAACAAACATTTTTGTCAACATAACAAAAATGTGCTGGTTAAATTTTAATAAACTTGTAATAATTTTGGACCGAGTGATAATTTGCTTAATTTTTTTGTTTTATAAAATTTATTTGTTTAATTTGCTGTTTCCAATAATGCCACTTAACGGTTTAAATGAGTTGCGCTAACATGTACAGTGGTCACAATCAGAACTTTTTTTCATTTTTTTTTGGTTTATAACAAATTAACTGGTGGTAATTGTAACAATGAAAATAGTAAATCTTAATTACAAAAAACTATTTACGCGTCTAAAGTTCTCTGTGTAAAAACGTAATCATAAACCTGTTGAACAGCATCCAGCAGATTATCTGGAGAAAATAGCTGGTCAATGGGCACGTGCACCTCATGTTGTTGAGAAACTGCTCAATGATTTGATGTTATTTGGCGTTTTGGCTGCTCAATAAATGGGCATAGAAAGTGTTGTTCCTTCAAACTACTTCACTGGTAGCCCTGATTGTGGTGTAGATGGTAAGGATGAATGGAGTAGGCATGTCGTCCTTTCCACTCTCCACTGGTCGATGCACGCTCTGCAGAAGCCGTGCGAACAACCGGCCAGGTAAGCAAAGTTGGTTTCTATTGCCTCCAAACAAATGCTGCACGTTTCCTCCTCACGTTCTTGTTGATCAGTGTTGACAGTTCGGCTGAGCGAATCTGATATCGAACCGGTTTGTACGTATTTAATAATACGTTCGACTTTAAAAACAATTATCGAAGATACAACTGTCTGCCGAGCACATGTGACTGTTCATTTTGGTTTGATTGTTTGAAAAATAATGGAAAAATTGTAAAATATTATTGACAATGTTTTTGGAAATGTTTTACAAACTCAATTTGTCGTTATTTTATTTCTTAATTTAATTGAAGTTTTTCAACGGGTAATTTATTACAGGTGTCTGATGTCTAATTTGATGGCTGATGTGAACGCTAACTGATCAAGTTGGTCATGAGGCACTTATGTTAACTTTCTTTGTTATGTTGAGACCACTTAAATGAAAATTGGCAGATCAATTAATTTTTATATTATTGGTAGTCTAAATATGAGAAACAATAGAGATTTAAAAGAGTTTGATGAATGCTTCAAAACAAAATTGAAAAAAAAATTTAACAACATCTTGTTTTATTAATACTAAAAACTCAATTAATTAAAAATGCTTTGTTAAAATGAACATTTAAAATGTGGCAAATAAACAAAAATTTTTCAAAGTACCAAACAGATAAAGCTAAAAAGTTTGTGAAACAAGTTGGAAATGTCTAGCACATAAAGAGCAAAATAAACTTTGAAAGGAAGACGTGAGTGGCAGACCAATTAAGTGACACTTGTCGGGTGGCTCTTTGATCTTACGTAACAACAACTTTAGCTAGTTAACGCTTTGATCTTTCACTATATTACGTAATACCCACTTTGCTAAAGTGCTAAGTTTAAAATAACTATAACTTGACACAAAGGTCCTAAGTGATTCACCCACCAAAAATTATTAAAAGGCAGACAAGAATAGAAGTGCCCCATAACCAAGTTGACCAGCCAGCGTTCACTTCAGCCATCATATTAGATATTAGACATCTGTAATATATTTCAATTTATAAAATTCAACCAAGTAAAGCATTTGCATTACGACAAATAGAATTTGCCAAAAATTTTACAAAAACTATTATACAAAAATTTGATAACTCTTTCATCCATCGCCAAACACTATTTTACAAATTTTTCATAAACCTTCAAGCAAACGAATAAATATGAACAACCACATGTGCTCAGAAAGCAATTGCATCTTTGAGAATTGTTGTAAAGTCGAACGTATTATTAAATACGTACAAACCGGTTTGATATCAGATTCACTCAGCCGAACTGTCAACACTGATCAACAAGAACGTGAGGAGGAAACGTGCAGCATTTGTTTGGAAGCGATAGAAACAAACTTTGCAGAGCGTGCATCGACCAGTGGAGAGTGAAGAGGACAACATGTCCACTCTGTAGATCTCCATTCCATCTCACCATCTACACCTCAATCAGGGCTACCAGGGAGGAAGTTGACTATTTGAAGGAACAACACTTCCTGTGCCCGTTCAATGAGGCGCCACATCACCAAGTGACATACAGCCCTCGAGTCATAGAGCAGTTTCTGAACATCATGAGGTGCAATGTACCCATCGACCAGCTGTTTGCTCCGGATAAGCTGATGAGTGCAATCAACAAATTTATGACTACGTCTTCACACGGCGAACTTGAGTTGTCTAAATAGTTTTTTCTAAACTATGTCGATATGTGTGTAGCATGTAAATAGTTTTTTGTATGTGAATAGTTTTTAATGTATGTAAATCTTTTTTGTGTATAAATAGTTTTTTTTCATGTAAATAGTTTCTTCTGTATGTAAATAATCGCTTGTATGCATATAGTTTTTTCGTAAGTCCTGTAAATATTTTTCCATTATTAATTTTTATTTTGATATTTCATTCCAAAATTTCCATTTATTTTCTTGTGAAGAATAGATTTTCAATAAACAAATATTTTGGTTATTGAGTTGTTCACGTTTCATTTACTCTTACTTTCGTTTCGTTTCGATACCTGTTCGATCGTTTCGTTTCAAGGTTATATACGCTTTCAACCGCAATAGCTTAGTCAACATTTTAAAGATTATTCAATGGTAATTAACTATTACATTATTGAATCAGTTGATGTATTTTCAACAAAAAATAAAATACATCTTTTTTGACATGGGCTGGGCACATTCTTTATTTCACAATATACACACTAGCGTTTTAATGTAGCCGTCAAGTCGCGTTTTAATTGAAGGGTTCACTTAACATTTTCGATATTGAAAAATGGTTTTCATCATATGAACATCATCCATTATAATCCATTATAATCTCTGAATTATTGTAAAATTATTGGTAAACTAAATAAACTCTATTATCATTGTAAATTATATCAAATAAATTCCCACATGTACGCATATTTGTCATGTGTGTTAACATTTTAAATCCAAACTTCAATGTATGAATACATGACAAGTGGCTTGATATGACCGCAGGTTATACTTCTTTAAAAAAATTCTGCTTTTTCCTCGATAAGATAAACTTTTTGATAATCTTATTACAATCCAGAATAATAAAAAACGTAATTAACAATTATCTAAACTTTGAAGTTAAATAAAATTATTTTTTATTTGCATTTCAGAATAACGTAGAAAAATAGTATGATCGTCTGTATGTCCTGTCCATAAAGTAGCCTTTTTTCACCCAATTGGTCAAATTTTGGTCAGTGCATGTCTATCCATTTTTTTTATAACAGACTCACCCAGCGATTAAAATAATCATGCAAGTTGTTGAGGTGGTAGATGAATGGGCGTGGAATCAAAGGAGTGATTGATAATCAATATCCGATTCGCATTGACAACTTGATATGTTCACCACATCTGATTTATCGCCTTGTTTTGTTTCGTTTTTAAGATTTTGCTTGCTTTTTCAGTTTTGTTTTCGCTTGTATGTACTTTGTTTGTTTGTCTGCTTCAAGTTTTCTTCAATTCATTTTTTCAGTGACGTCATTTCGGTTCGCTTTTTTTAACGGTGTACGTTATGTATACATACAATTTTCGTACTCTGTTTAGCACACATTTTTTGAAATTTCTTATGTTAAACATTCAATATAATAATGCATGTGTACTTTATATGGCTTACGCAGTTTCATCTAGTTCTTTTTCGTTAATTCATGGTTCGATCTCACTGGATCTTTTATTTAAAATTTTCAAAACTGTTCACGGAGGATAATAAACTTTTCCAACGGAACAATAAAATAACAAATGACAAAAAACTATTTCATCGAGGTAGCCAGCAAATTAAACATCGATCAATCTGTCAATCAAACCCAATCAACCAATCAGCTCATTAACAAACTAATGAGGAAGTAGTTAACTGGAACAAACCAGAACATTTCATGAATTACTTTATTGATCATTCAATAAATCATTCAATTAGGAAACTGTCAGCCAATTAACAATCTGAAAATTTTCATTCAACCAATTAACAATGTGGAAGTTCTTAAGCATCTAATGAAATATCTGGAATTAAAATCTGGTAATTTTCAATCGACCAATTACAAATCAATCAGTATCAATCAAATCAATTTTAAGCAACGTTAAAAATATTTTTTTATAACATTTCATTCCACATCACAATGAACATCAATCCACTTTTTTGTGGATTAAAAAACATCTGAAAATAAAATAAGAAAATTTGACGTGTTATTTTTATATTTTTTCTCTTCAACGGAAACGGAAAAGGATCTCGCTTATATTTATGATCTTCTAATGACGTCATAACTAGAAATCTTCCTCTATCACGCCCCGGACTATCATGATATAACCTTCCACGTAGCAAGTTGAGCGCAACAAAATGCTGGAGCGCTGATAATGATGGTGATTATGATGATGATGATGGCTGTGATGATTGTGATAGTGACGATGGTGATGATGATGATGATGATGAGAATGATATTTATGTTAATACCCTAACGATTTAAGATGTTACTATTGTTATTACCATTATTATTGTTTTTATTATTGTTGTTGTTGTTGCTGTTATTGTTGTTGTTATTGTTGTTGTTGCTGCGGATGTTGTTGTTGTCATCATTCATTAATAGTTAGAATGAAAACGATTGTAATGATGACGAACGATGTGCTAATGACAGTTAGGGGAATATCAATGATGATGATAACGATGACGATAATGATGATGAGACAATGATGATGATGGTGATGATGATGGTGATGATGATGGTGATGATGATGGTGATGATGATGGTGATGATGATGGTGATGATGATGGTGATGATAATGACAGACACATTTTACCAGAATCGAGACGCTAAATGGCTTGTTTAGAGGACCCTTTGTGTGCCTATATGGTCTTGAATATATAGGATCTATAACCATTTTAACTCGCGATATTTTTGATTTTTTATGAAAATAATTTTTTGTATCAGAGATTTTTACATATCTCTTTTTGTGGTTTCATTTTTCTGATTCAATTCACTAATGAATTCGCTTGCGACTCGCTCGACAGAATATTTTCCTATATATTTTGCCGGGGTCCAGTGGAGAAACTGAAGTGATGGTGATGATGAAGATGATGATGAAGATGATGATACACACGTACGTACACACATGCACATACATGTCTATATACATTCATACATACATATATACATACATACATACATGCATACATACATACTTACTTACATACACACATACATAAATACACATTGTTCTTTCTAGCTCAATTTCAACCAGTCAGTCAAGTTAACATTTAATTCCTATGAAAGCATAAGTTAATAGATCGCTTTGTTTGGTCATTGTATGTGCATTAAGTACTTGTTTGTATTTGCGTGTTTGTGTATTGTTGGTATGTGTGCGTGTATTGTTGGTATGTGTGCGTGTGTTTGTATGTGCGTGTGTGTATAGTGCGTATATGTTAGGTTTTGTTATACAATAATTGTTTGCATTAGTCTTTGAATATGCTTTTCTAGTTTTTTAGTATGTTGTGTATGCGAATCATTGTATTTGTATTTTATATGCTCGTTTTGGTGTTGTTAAATTTTTTCAACTCATACAATCATCTTGGTATGTGCGTATACATGTTTGTATGTATGTATTTATACAGCATGCTTTTGATATTTATAGTCTAGCTAATTTCTCTCTATATTAGTTTGTTTAATGATTCGATTGCTGTGTTTGCAGAAGCGTGTGTTTTTGTGTGTTTCTGTCTGTCTGCAAGTATGTTTTTAAGTGAGTTTGCGTGTCTGTAGTTGTGTGTATATATCTGTATGTATGTGTGTGTGAGTGTGTCTGTGTGTGTGTGTGTGTAAGTTGAATTTTTTTTAATAATTTTAAATGTGGTCTCTCAAATAATTTTATTCCCCGTCTTTATTTTTAACAGAATTAATTTAAACAACGAAGTGAACAAACAAAAAATATGCATAAATAAGTCGAAAATTTTATTCGAGTAAATGGAATACTAATATGTGATGCTAGTCTGGCAGTTGAATGTAGAATTTAATATTTATGGCTTCATTAAATGGAGGCAGATATAAAATCTTTGAAAATATAATTTTAGTTGTTTTAGTTTATGTGTGTGTGTGAATGTGTGTGTTTAGTTTATGTATATGTGTGTGTGTTTAGTTTATGTATGTGTGTGTGAGTTTGTGTGTTTTTGTCTGTGTATGTATGTATTCCATTCAGTAACATTGTGTATATTTACTGTGTTTCTCTATGTTTGTACATGTGCGAATTCCAAAAGTTGGAAAAGTTAGAATAAAAAACCAACAGCAACAACGATATATCAATACTAATGCGAAAGTTACTTAAAATATTGTCAGTTTTCGTTTGAATGTCTGTTTGTGTGTAACTTTGTTTATGTCTGTATGTATTTGTTTGTATGATTTGCATTAAATACATTTTTGTAGTGGCGAATCTAGACAACTTTGTCAGAGTAACAAATTTAGAAAATGTTTAAAATTTATAAGGGCCAAAATTTTTACAGGGAAAGCCAAGATTAGTAGTAGTGTGGATGAAAATCTTTTTTTTGCTTATAACGTCAAGGACAAGCCAGTGCCCCTCACCACCCCCTAGATCCACCACTGCATGTTTGTTTGCATATTAGGGCTACTATCATTATCATTTTTTATGTATACAAACAATATGTTAGTAGACAAAATTCCAGCATCACATACACTGTGTGTGATAGACAAGAAACTGTTTGTATTCGAACGCGGCCACTACATCAGTATAGACCAAGTATCTTAGCCGCTAGGCCATCGCTGCCGTGTATATGAATTCATGTGTGTATGTGTAATATATTTACATGAATTGAATGCGTTCTTTTGTATTGTAATAAATGGATGGATATAAATTGATGGATGGTCCGTTTTAATGTTTCTAATCATTGCTTCTGCCTGTGTTTGATACGAGCTTCTAAATAATGTTAAAACAATGATGATGATGACGACGAAGACGACGATGATGATGTTCAATGGAGGAGAAGATGAAGATGACGACGAAGACGACGATGATAAGGATGACAATAATGGTGACGACCATTTAGACGACAACAATGAAAGAGATGATAATAATAATTTTTCTAGTGTGAAGGCTGCTTTTCATCTTAAAAATAATAACAACAACAACAACAATAATAATAATAAATAGCGCATATATAGCTTTGGGAAGATTAATGTTTGACATTCATTTACTCGGGACGGACGACGTATATCGTACTCGCGAATAATACGCGCTATATCATTATTATAGTTTTTGTTATTATTATTATTTATTATTGTTGTTATCATTTATTATTGTTATTGTTGTTATTATTATTTTTATCAGTATTAGTAGTAGCAGTATAAGTATTGTATTGCAAGAAGTAATATAGTAGTAGTAAAAGTAGTAGTAGTAGTAGCAGTTGTAGTAGTAGTAGTAGTAGTGGTTGTCGTAGTAATAGTAGTAGTGGTAGTGGTAGTGGTAATAGTAGTAGTAGTAGTAATAGCAGCCATTGTAAGAATAAGAAAAGCCAAAATAACAACAACGAAATAAATTATTCCCAAATCAGAGCGAAAATAAAAACCACAAACTGCAACAAGCGACATATAATAAATAAGTAAATCCTGCTTTCCCAATAAATATTATGATGATGACGTCATATTACCATCATCGTCATCATCGTTATCATTTTCGTTATCGTCGTCATCATCATCACCATCAATGTAATTATTTCTCATCATCATCACCACCATCACCTTCATGTCATCATCTCACCACCATCATCATCATCAACGTGAATATGGTGTCATCATCATCATCATCATTGTCGTCGTCATCACCATCATCAACACTACCATCATCATCATCAATGTGAATATGGCGTCGTCATCATCATTGTTGTCGTCATCATCATCATCAGCACCACCATCATCATCATCATTGACAGGATCATCGAAGTACCAATGACGTCAATATCGCCTAGAGATGATGATCATCATTAAGTAAATGATCGTAACCATGACGATAACGAGGATTAAGTGAGTAAAAATAAGAATAATAACAAATTATAACATAGAAAAATAATAAAATTGAATAATAGGAAATATATACACTTAATGAAACTTATCGTTTTGATTGTGATAATATTGATTAGGATGATGAGGGTAATGACGATGGTGATGATGGCGATAGTGGTGAAGACGATGATGATAATGACGACGATGATGATGATGATGAACCTAATGTTTGCTCGAGTGCCTCTTTTTTGATTGGTTTTTTGCGCTTATATAAAATAGATAAATTGTTCTGGGTAATAATAATAATAATAACAATAATAAAAATATAATAATAACAATAACCATAAGTTGTGTGTATCACAATTAATCATATCATTATCATCATTATTAAACATATCATTATTATTTTGTTTTTTATATTGCTATTAATATTATCATTGTTGTTGTTTTGTTATTGTTATTATTATTATTATTATTAGCAGCAGCAGCAGCTGTTGCAGCTGCATTGCAACCAGCGACAGTGAAGTTATTGTTGCTATTTAAACTCCGATATTTACGACAATAGGGTAGTTAGTAATGAACAGATTAGCGGTTGTGCTGCTACTAAAAACAGTCCAGTTATTGTACCACGGCTAATATTTGAAATGCAGTAACGACTCGTACCACTTTAGAACTATCAGGGTCATTGTTTGCTTAGCCACCGTAACCTCGGGTTGATGGTGTTTTTTCTACTTTTATGATACCAACGAAGTAATTGCTACCTGCTAGTACATAATGCATGCATTGTATCTATGCATGTATGTGTGTGTGTGGTGTGTGCATGTGTGTGGTGTATGTGTGTGTGTGTATGTGTGTACGTATGTATATATGTATGTATGTATGTATGTATGTATGTATGTATGTATGATGTATGTACGTATGCATGTATATGTGCATGTACGTGTGTATGTTAAAACCAAATTATTGATGAGTGGCACTAAATAGTCAAACGTTCGAATGGAACTTGATTAACAATTGTAACTCACTCACGTCGGCGTTTTACTGAATATTCCCGTCAACACAGACGCGAAGGGACCGTTGCAACAAACAAGAAATGTGATTCATGGCGAAGAATAACTCTCTGCTGTTGCCTGATCTGACACTTATCATTTTGTAGATGTTTTTTTTAAATTTAAGATTGTTGTTGTCTATCAAACAGTTCATAAATATGGAGAAAAAAAACAATGACAAAGGGCTCTATTTAATGACTCTATTTAATGGTTCTTTATGAACCGTCAAACAGACAAAAAATCCAACGAAGGCAGAGCCCCATCATAATTTTTAATCTTTTCACCCGATGCCCTGGTTGCGGCCAAACCACTTTCCTTGCTGGTTAGGTGCACATAATGTTGCGCTAAAGTGCCCGGAACGGTGACGTCCGACGCCAAACACCCACCAGCCCTCCAAGGGTCAATGTACAACTGTCGCTATACTTACCATCGTGTGCGGGAATCCCCGACGGCACATTTGCACACATAATTTCATATATTTATGAATCGTTAAACCAATACGAAGACCAACCGCCAATAAAAATGCATACAATCATTGATACAACCATAAATACGCACACAAAGTTACTTACACACACAAGCAAACACCCCCCCCCCCACGCACACACACACACACTCACATACACTCACACACACACTCACACACAAGCAAACCTACACACAAACACACGCACAGACAAACACAAACACACACACAACATTACTTAAGCTCGGACTCATGTAGTAGAACCATTAGATAGAGCCCTTTGTCATTTGTTTGTTTTTTACTCCATGTTTATGAACTGTTTGATTTCGTCCTGCTTTGTCCTAGTGGTGTTTTATTGCATTTTTGTTTGTTTGTCTGTCTGTCTGTCTAATTGTTTGTTTCCTTATTTTAAATTCAATCTAAAAAAAATTTCATTTTATTCATGTAAATAATTGAGCAACGGCTCGATTATTTACAATTCATCATGTTTTGTTTTGGTTTAACCATAGTAAAATAGCATCATGAAGATCGTCTCGCTTGCAAACTTTTTGGGAAAAAACATTCTTTATCATATTTATTATGATATATAACTCTTAATCATTTATATTATAAATTATAAGTATTATTAATTATATATATATAGAGAGAGAGAGAAAGAGAGAAAGGATGAGAAAAAGATAGAGAGAGAAAGTGCATATATACGTTTGTTTTTTCCAATCATTCAGCTTATCCATCGAGACTTAATTTCGTGAATGTTTTAACTTCCGCCATGCAGATGAAAAATGGAAAGTACACAACTGCCATGCGAATCTGTCTGTTGGAAATAAATGAGGTTCTCCTCAGTAGCAGCAGCAGCAGCAACCACACTAGCGACATCATCAAGTTTGTCAGCAGTCAGTTGATGTTGTAGTACAGTATATTATTATTATTATTAGTATTATTATTATTACTACTACTACTACTAACTTGAATTGCTATCAACGTACATTAATGTAATAACATTAATAGTAGCAACAATAATATTAATAGCAATGAAGATGTGATACTTAATAATGATAATAATAATAATAATAATAATAATAATAATAATAACAATAATTATACAATTATTTTTATTTAGATAGTTATAAATTTTTATGACCGGAAACCGTGTAAAAAACTTCGGCCCCCCAACAAAGTGATTAGCCATAAAAAAAAGGACACCAGTATGTGTGAATAAAAAAAAACAACAATAACAACAAGACAACAACAGAAATAATAACAATGACGTCATTAGCATCAACAACAACGACGTCAAAAGCGATAACAGAAACAACAACAATATCTTCTAGAGCATGAATATTTATAACGACAACTTTAAATAGTAACAATGACTTTAAAAAAATGACGCCATATAAATAACAGTAACATCTTATATAATAGCTACATCAGCAGCAACAACAACATTTAAAAACGACACAAACAACAACAACAATAACAACAATGCTATCATAAACAGCAACAATAATAATAACACCAAAGCAACAACAGTAACAATAAAAATAACATTAATAACAGTAACAGTAATAATAATAATAACATCAACAACAACGACAACAAAATGAACCGAACGAAAAATATTAATAAGTTAAATACGAATAGTAATAATAAAAACAAAACCAAGAGTTTTAAAAATAAACCCAAAAACAATAGCAACACCAACAAAACCAGCAGCAACAACAACAATAATAATAATAATAATAGCAATAATAATAATAATAATAACTTTGTTTGCACTAACTACTATCATCGCCTTACAGAAGAGATTCCAATTTTCAGTCCGATACTGAATCTAACGGAAATATACTACCAATCTCTATCGCCATCATCATCACCGCCGCCACCATCATCATCATTACTATCATCATCGTCATCAACAACGACATCCTCACCATCACCATCATCATCACCATCAAATCTACTATCGTCATCATCATCATCGTCATCTTCGTCCTCATCGTCATCATCGTCGTCGTCATCATCATCGTCGTCGTCATCATCATCTTCGCCGCCCAATTTAAGGTTCGCCATTTTGTCTGTACACTTAATAAATGAGAAACCGATTGACAGAAGAAAAACGAATAAGTCGAAGAATTTATATGAAAAAAATTGGGTCAACAACAACAACAACAATAATAACAACAACAACAAAAATAACAACAATAACAATAATAAAAACATTGGAATTAATAATAATATAATACTCAATTATTCTGTTGACGATGACTTCAGAAAAATAATTGATGAGCGTGTTGCCACTGATAGCAATCCATCAAACTACAAGAACATCACTAACAATAATAATAATAGCAATAACAACAACAACAATAATAATAATAATAACAACAACAACAACTTTAATAACAACAATAATAATAAATATAACAATAATAATATTAACAACAACAACAACAACATTAGTAATAATAACAATAACATCAGTAATAATAATTATAACAGTAATAATATTAACAAGCATAATAATAATAATGATAATATAAATAATAATAACAATAATACTAATAACAATAATAACAATAATAATAATGACTCGATCACTGTTCATCAGATTAACAGTGATGTTAAAAACAGCAACATCAACAGCACTAAGAACAGAAAAAATAACAAGATCAATAAAAATAGCAACAACAACAACAACAACAATAATAATAACAATAACAATTATAATAACGTGTCCTCTTCGTTGTTGATGAACAAATTGTTCTTCATAGAAGAGGATGGTGAAGTGTTGAGGACGGCATCCAGGCTGGATCGGGAGGAAATCTGCTCCCCATCATCATCCTCATTGTCATCATCCTTTTTATCCTTGTCATCATCTTCATCTTCATCATCATCATCATCATCATCAAAACCCCCATCATCATCGTCATCGTCGTCGTCGTCACAATCTTTGCCACCATCAACCTCATCATCTAAATTTCTGTTTTCATTGTCATCGTCATCTTCATCTTTTGTGCCATCATCAACATCAACCCCAACATTACCACAAACTTCTGTACCACCGCGGCCAGTAAAAACGTCATCATCGACATCGTCCCCATTATCTCCTCACACCATTCTACCATTAGTTTCACTTCATTCCAATCAAGCATCACCGCCACCACCTGTGGCAACATCATCCATATTACCTTCTTCATCGTCATCATTTTCAACGTCACCATCACAAAGTCACCATTTGACAAAATCTTCACCACAACAGCATCAACCACTGCGATATCGACTACCACCACCGACTGACGCCATACTGGATGAAGTGGCGTCACCATTGCATGCCGGTAAAGGATGCTTTCTTAAAGTCGACATCATAGTTTTGACGCTGCCGTACGAAGACCAACAACGGCAACAATCACTACATCGACAACATCATCATCAGCAACTGCAGCAGAAACTTCCAAAGAAGCCGCAACCACAACAGCCACCAACGCATCACACACGCATCAAAATGATGACTATAACACTTGAAATATTGGACTTGAATGACAACAAGCCAACCTTTGTCTTGCCTCAAACTCCATCATCATCATCATCATCATCATCATCACCATCATTGTCGTCATCGTCGTCGTTCTCGTCATCACCAACCTCTTTTTTGGTGTCATCGTCATCATCGCATTCATCATCGTTGTTATCATCGTCGTCGTCCAAATTGAAGCGCACAAATTTACATTTCTCTAAACCCCTTTCTTCATCTTCCTCTTCCTCGTCACCATCATCACCATCATCATCATCTTCTTCATCATCATTGCCGTCGTCGTCATCACCATCACCAAGTGACACCTTCAAAATATATGTGCAAGAGTCATCCGGACCTGGAAACCTTTACCGCCTTCCACATGCCTTCGACATGGATGCTACAGTTAATACTCGCATTCGGTATCGACTCGAATTAATCGACTGCACACTATCGAATAGTTATAATAAAAAAGCCGTATATTTGACCGAATACCCATCGTCCTTATCATCATCGTCGTCATCATCGTCATCATCATCATTATTGCCTGCCTCATCTTACTCACCGTCATCATCTTCATCGTCGTCATCATCTTCATCTCAGCCCACATTAAAATATAATAAATGCCTAAGCATTGCTAAGGTCGGAAATTATAACGTAGTAGATAACAGCAATAAAAACCACAACAGCAATAAAATTAATAACAATAGTAACTATAACAATTACAACAATAAAAACAATATCAATTATAGTGACAATGACAATAGTTACAACAACGGTAACGCCATCAAACCAACCGAAATTAATATATTCTCAGTTAATGCAGCCAACGATGTTCCTAGCAGTGCTTTCAATGGCAGATTGAGTAACAACAACAAATACAACACAGACGTTAACGACAACAACAACAACAACAATCACAAAAGTGAAACGAATGAAACTTCGGGATTTCCCATCTTCCAGCTTAAATGTCTTACCACAGGGGAATTATTCTTAGTCGTTGGAGCCAAATTAGATCGAGAACTTGTCCACATGTATAAGCTACGCTTGGTTGCGTCTGATGGCGCTGCTGATGATGACGACGATGTTGATGATCATGACCGTCATCTTCGTTATCATCATCATCCTCATCTGAATGTCACTGGTGATGATGCTGATGATGATGGCGGGACTGACCAACATGATCGTAAAAACATCAACATAAAATACATCAACAAAAATTATGGCGATAATAAAAATGAAGATGCTGATGATGGTGATGAAGAAGAAGAAGATGATGATGATGGTGGTGGTGGTAATAAAACTCCGTCTAAAATTTCTCACTCATCTAGCATCGTTATCGAGATTCATGTCCTAAACGCCAACGATAATGTACCGGTATTCGCGAATATTTGGTACAATTTCACTATCGAGGAACACACGCCAGTTGGTACTGTTATCGGACAGATACGGGCCACCGACGATGACGAAGATGATGACGTAGATGAAAATGGCAATAATGAATACTCCGTAAATAAGAAGCGTAACCAAATATCTTATAAAATATCTCCTATTTCATCATCATCTTCATCATCATCATCAACAACAACGTCATCGTCATCATCCTCATCACCGATATCCATCAACAATTCGACAGGTGAGTTAATCGTATCTTCAGACATCAACTACGAATCGGTGCAGTGCATCGAACTGCTGGCCGAAGCTGTCGATAACGGATCCAACCCTTTAACCGGTTTTGCTCAAGTGTCGGTATATATTCAAGACGTTAATGATAATTACCCGACTATCGAATACCACTCACTTCTAATTTTCAAAGATACCAGTCCTAAAACTGGTTATTACGAGTTAAAACCGTCGAAATACTCGAAAGAACCGATCGGTTTTTTGTCAGTTAGCGATTCGGATAGTAACGATAATGCTCGGACCGATTGTAATATATCGAGGTCGGAATTGCTCGTGAAAGGGATTTGCAGAGATGATGCGTACAACAGCCATAAAAGCGACAATAGCCCGGCGAGCATTGTCAGTGGCGAATGCGACAGGCGCCATGCAAAAAGTAATAACCTCGCAAGTAACAATACTATCCATAGTAATAATAATAATAATAACAACAATGATGAAAATAATAATAATAATAGCAACAAGATCAATAATAATAAGAATACTAATAGCGACAACATCAATAATAGTAATAATAACAATAATAACAGCTATAACAGCCATCCTGTATTTATGTTGAAACAACTGGACAGCGATCAATACGAATTAATATTTGATGAAATCTTCGACGACGATAATAACAACAACAGTAACAACAATAACACTAACAATAACAACAGTAACAACAACAGTGAAAATAATAATAATAATAACAAGGAAAACAAGGTGGGATGGAGTATAATGGAGTTAACCGTAGCGTGCCGCGACTTCGGCTCGCCACCTCTCGTCAACTACTTAAAATTGTTGTTTAAACTGAATTACAATGATGATGGTGATGACGTCATCGTAAATAACAGCAACAATAATAATTATAACAACAACAATAACAGCAAAAATACTGATGGCAACGATGTAAAAATCGGCAGCATCATCCACCACGTCCGGTCGGCGAAAGTGAAGAATTTGAATTATATCGGTGATGATAGAGCGATAGTAAGGGATAATAATAATAATAATAATAATGGTGACGACGACGCTGGTGATGATAATAACACAAATAATAATAATAGTAATAATAATAATAATAATAATAATAATAATAGACGTAGCAGTAGCAGCAACAACGACAGCCACAACGACAAAACAAATTCTTTTTTAGCGGAAGATGATGTGCGCATGAGTTATGGCATTGGCTCAGATGATAACAATGCCAAGTCCAAATCACAATTTCAGTATTTATTACTTAACAACGACCACAACAACAACAAAAGCATAACAAACAACAACAGAAATAACAAAAACAACCTCTACAACAATAACACCAGATTCAACAATTTCAAAAACAATAGCAATCATTATCTGACCACCACCAACAACAACAACAACATCGGCAACAACACCTTCCCATTAAACAACAACAACAGCAGCGGCAGCACCACGTACATGTTTCTTCCTTGGATCATAATATTGTTGTTGAGCATTTTGTTGCTGATTATGGCTATGTACATACGCAGACTTAAAGCAAATAGACTGCTTAAAAGCAAAAGTGAGAAAAATAAAAAATGTAAAAAGAACAAAAAAACGAAAAAAAATAACAACAACAACAATAACAATAAGAATAAGAATAATAATAATAATAATAATAATAATGGTTCCAGTGGTGGTAGTGACTTTAAAAACAATAAAAAATTGTTTAAATGTAAGAAAAATAAACTGAGCAAAAGCAAAAGTAACAACAACAATGACAGCAACAACGCATCTGAAGTAATAGAAACAAGCAAAATGAAACCGTTAACGTTTCTTAAATACAATTTGAACAAGTACGGTGTGGATGACGACGATGAATATGATGACAATTACATCAACAACTACAACAACAATAGCAATAACAATAACAACAACAAAACCAACAGTAACAACAAAACCAACAGCAACAACAACAACAACGCTATGAACCTAAGGAGCAGTTGTTTTAGGAGTAGGGTTGATGATGCAGATAGCAACAGCAGTAATTTAAACATCACGGCCGTTCTTAATGAAGATGTCGATGAAGATAACAGGAATGATAACAATGATGGTGATGTTGACGACGACAACGATGATGATGAACAATATTTCTTTGATGATGAAATGAACGTCAATAATTTTACTATAATTACACAGAGCCAAGCGCAGACACAACAACCGCAACAACCGCAAAATCCACAACAGCTACAACATTCACATCAACAACCACAAAAACAACAACAAAAACATCCGTTTCAACAAGCACAACAGCATCAGCAACAGCACCGCGAATATACACTGCCAGTGCAAAACGTATTTAGATATTGCCAATTCACGCCACCGTCGACGATTCAGCATCGACGACAACAGCCACAACCGCAAAGTATCCAACTACAACCACAACAACGTTTGCAGTATGAGGAATTTTATCAAGAAAACACTCAACAAAACACGCAACAATGTATGTACGATTCCATCCGAAGACAACTACAACTACAGCAGCCACAACAACAGCAAGAGTGTCGCCCGCAGCACCACCAACAGCAGCATATACAACAACATAAGCAACAACAACATAAACAACAACAAAAAGAAATTGTTTTAAATTCAGCAAAAGAGGAAAATTTAATAAACCACTGTCTGTGCGAAACACTAATCCGCACATCTCCCGATCTCATTTCCGGAAGGGTGGGTGCGTTTTATTTTCATCAAAATTTTTCATGCGCTAACTACTTTGATTGAAGTTTTTATCTTTCTTTTTTTACAAGTTTTTACATATTTCTGCGTGCAGTTTGACAACTAATCGCCAGTCTGAATTCGAATTTCTTTTTTTCAATTTTTTATTATAAATTTCAAAAGCAAATTGAAAACATCAATCAATGTTTATTCAATTCTTCATACATTAAAAACACACCACCCCCATCACATGTGGATATGATGAAACGTTCGGCGAGAATGTTCTTCTCATCGAGATGTTTTTGATTCTTTTTGCATGTTTGTTTATTGTTTTTGCACGATTGTTTATTTATAATTTCTTAGCATAGAATTTTATTTTCGCAATTTTTACGTTGGAAATTACTTTTATTTGTAAATATTCCTATTTGTTACTCCTCTTTTATAATTGTTTTTTTTATTTATATTTTGAAATTGTTTTTTTTAATTTTGAGATTGTTTATTTTTATTTTGAAATTGTTTCTTTTTATCTTTCCACTAGTCCATTCACTGTCAATTAATTGCAGGCTTTCCAGTTTAAAAAGACATCAGCCTGCCAGCTCGCACGCACACTCTTTCAATAGTTCCATGAACGCTCAGCGGACCAAACACGCCAGCCACTTCGTCCATTTGCCGCCAAGATGTTCGCGCGTTGAGAACTTTTAAATAGCTCCACTTTTATTCTTTTTCTGTATTTGAATAAGTTTATACAAGTTTTATCAGTTTACCTAGTCTGGTAATTCAATTTTCTGTCCATTTCAATTTGTTTTTTTTTTTAAAATTTTAAATATTTAGAAAATTTTTTTATCAAATTTTCAATTCAGTTAGTTTTAATTCCCACGTGCATACTCGCCAGTAAGAACGCGTTTGAAATTTCAATTTGTTTCAAATTGAATTTTTCCCGCGAAATTGGTTTTTGATGGGAGGAGGTTATGTCTGTTAGCCGGTCAATTTAAAAGCTCGTCATCTCTATTGGTTTATATTTTCACATAAACCGTTTTAAATGAAAAAAAAATTGTTATAAATACTCAAGTAAATTTTAAATCAATTCAAAAATAATTTGGCAAGGTTGTCTTTAGTTTCATTATAACAATAATTAAATAATGTTCAAAGATAATTCTTGCGTTATAGATGACAACAACAAAAAATCATCGAAAAAATGTTTTGAAAGTAAAAAAAAGTATCTACTGATGCAAGAAACAAAACGTCGAAAAGAGGTTAAGCATCCTTAAAAAATTTTCAGTTTCTCGCCCAAAAAACCTCCCTATTCTACACCGCATTTCAAGTTGAAATACATTCTAGCTACCAATACTTTTGAAATGAAAAAAATTTTCTCAAACATTTTCATTATTTAAATAAAAAGAATTTCAGAAATGAGAATGTTTTGTTGTTGAGGAGTGATTGATTCGTTGAGGAACAATGAGAAATATATCTCCACCGGACCAATGCACGTCTTTACACGCATGTTCCTGTCGTTATGTGTATCTATATGTCAGCAAGATACATTTTTTTTGTTGTTATATATATCTATATATCTGTATCTATCTCATTGGTGTACACGTTTATATTATGTATATATTATGTTTATATTATATATATATATGTGTGTGTGTGAATATTTGTTGTATGTATTGTTATGCATTTCTCAGTGGTGATGGCTTACATAGATTTTTAAATTAAAACATTTTAACATTTTAAACATGACTTATTAAATGTGTTATGACTTCATTTGACTTGAAAACTATTTTATGTATTTATTTCAGAATTATAAGGGTACTCAATGATTTTTTGTATAACATATTGTAACTTTTATGGTTATATGAATCAACTCTCACAAGCTCTAATGCTTAATACTGTAATGGAAGACGTAAGAACAAAAATAAGAAGAAAAATATTTCAATAATGACACTTCTAAAACAAAGGAAGAAAGATAGAAAACAAATGAAAGATGAAACAGGAAAAAATTTACAATTTCAAGAAGAACATTGAAACGGCAATAGCGTAGCAACCAATATAGATGACGATTTAAACTTCATGTTCGTCTGACCAGCGTAACATGTAACATGTAGAATGGATAGAATCAAATACACAACACCATGCTTGGAGTAAGTACGGTGCAGTATAGTATCTTCAGTCGACATTTTCCTTATTTAAATGTTTAATGAGCTATTTTGTATAGAGGCACACACACAAATTTGACAGTTGCAATCATGATTTTTTTTGTAAAAATAGTATTAAATGAATAATGTTTTATGTTTTCATCTTTTGTTTATGTGTGATTGTCTGCTTTTTGTGTTTGTGTGAGTTAATTTTAGGGTGTGTGTGTTTGTGTGCCTGTGATTGTGTGTATGTTTGTGTGCGTGTGCGTGTACGTCAGGTAAATTTCAGCGAACGCATTCATGTGTATGATCATTTTCATGTGAATGCAAACCACTTAGAGACTTTCGAACATTCGGGTTCCCTCCAATTAGAAACAATCCAGAGAATTCCTTTGAAGAAAATAAAATACTTTTTAAAGAAGAAAAATATTTTTTTTAATATTAGTAGTAACGAATGCAGTCGTTCAAAAACACTAACATCACAACATGGCCATCATAACATAACATAGCCGCAAGTAGCAACACACAGTTACATTAACAACAACAAAGCATCATTAACAATAGTTATAACATCAAATAAATAAATATATGGCTCATCCACTTGCAGCATGAATAAAAACAAAAGTGGCAAAATTAAAATTGTCATGTAACATGCAAAACCGTCAGATTTAAAAGAACTAAAAATGAATCGGTTCCAAAAAGTTACATAAAAATGATAAACATACGTTATAACGCATAACACATCATTATTTAAACGAAAAATTATGATAGAAATGTTCACAACGCACCAACACATCAAAGTTAAACCAACCAACAAGGCTGGTTAAAATTGAACCTAGGTATCAACAAAAATCAGCCATGCAATGAACTTTGACCCATATTTCAAGCAATAAACTTTGACCTGGATATTAATCCACCAAGGAAGCAATAATTTTTGAACCAATAAATAAATATTTACTTAGATATCAATCAACCAAGATATAATTTTATATCTAAAAACCAACAACCAACCGATTAACTTTAACCTATATACATACATCTGCTAGCAACTTAATGAATCTTGACCTAATTATTCTTAAATATCGATCAACCAATCAATCAACCTTGACCTAGATATCAAGCAACCAAGCAATGACCGTCACGAGACAAAATGAACTTTGACCTTTTTTAGGCAAATTATCATTTCCTGTTGCGGACACATTCACACACGTAGTCTAGAGTTTGACTGGTTTTGTGTGATGTGTGAGGGCTGTGTGGATTTGGTCCGCTATGATTAATTGTGTGTTTACAGAGATGATGGTGATGATGACAACGAGATTGACGATGATAACGATGAGACTGGTGATGACGACGATGAGATTGATGATGATAATGATGAGGATGATGAAATTTATGATGATGATTATGATGATGATCAGATTTATGATGACGACAAATACAATGACGTGCCATAAAGCTAATACGCTATATGTAACATCACAACATAACATTACATTTAAAAAAAATAAGGAACTTGAATTTAAATTTTAATAAAAACACTAAAATTTGTAAAACTTAATACATATATATTATTGCGCGCAGATGTGCAAAATTCAATGTCAGAACCACAAAGCATGATAGGCTCAATATTCATTCTTTCCAATTGCTGCCTTGTGCCAGCCGGTAAAAACTGAGTTTTTGATTGATTGAATTTAAGCCTATTTGTTTAAGCCTCATTTATTTTTGAGAGACACTATCTGAGTCTACAAAACGACAAAGGGGGCACTAGCAATGATCTGAATATCATCGGCAAAGCTGTGACGTTTGAAATTATATCAGTCAATGATTTTGAAGACATCTGCAGTGTATAACAGAAACAGAAGAGGGCCGAGAACCGTAAGACACAGTTTCAACGTGTGTCAAGGTAAATCTGAACAGACCAGAAAAGTATGACTCGATCCATTGAAGAACAACGAACAATACTCCAAATGAATATTGGAGCTTGCATAAAATGATGAGTGATCGACACAATCAATCTTTTGGAGTACACACACATACACACACACACACACACGCACACACACACACTAAACTATTTCAAATATTTCTTTAGAAACGAGGTAGCATCATTAACATTGGGATCAGTCGCTGGAAAAATAGCAGCAACCAAGAGATAAAATAACTAAATCTTCTAAAACTACAAAAAATCGCTAGTAGGAGTGCATATATTTTATTTAAAGAGGTGCGCTCAGATTAAGATTTACAACATTCGTAATAATTCTTTCGGAATAATTCGATTCATTGCATGCCAACACTGTTAAGTCACCATTTTTTGACTTTTATTTTTAAAATTAAAAATATTTTAAAAATACAAATTGAAACGTTTTAAAATATCTAAAAATAATTTTTTGATGGCATAATAAACAAGATAAAACAAATATAAATTTCTAATTTGAATTAAATATTCAAGGAAAAATAGTTAGAACTTCGAAAAAATAATAAAACGCTGACAAATTGATCATTTCCTGAAAGTTTATTCAATCACAACAAGCAACAAAGTTTATTTTACACAGTTTTTGATCGTTCGGTAAAAGGTTTTTGTCAATTTTTCTTAAACCAGTGAAAAACAATCTTCCAATTAATCAACACCAAATTAATTTTTTAAAATTGTTTTTTTTTACAAACAAAAATGTCTTTGAAAAAAATAATCGGGCCATTATATAAAAGGAAGACATACGACAGTGATATACATGAAACACCTCGAAAGATACAGCATAAAATACCAAATAAGATACAACACATGATACATCAAGCAAAATGCCATACAAATCCACATGATATAGCATACACAACACAAGATACACAAAATATGATACCACACAAAATACGCAATACATGATACCTCACAAAATACACAATACAAGATACACAACACATGATACCACAAAATACACAACACAAGATACCATACAAAATACCACACAGATACACAACACATGAAACCACAAAACATGCTCCAACACATTTTAAACCCTAGATAGAACGGACTAGCCAGGATCATTAGCAGTCGAATCACGTTTCTCCTTCTTTAAATACACTACGCAGGCATGGAGAGAGAGAAAGAGAAAGAAAGAAAGAGAGAGAGAGAGAGAGAAAGAAAGAAAGAGAGAGATGTGGATAAGTAGGAATGGGGGGGATAATAAAAGTAGGAGAGAACAGGAAATAAAGTGAGCGATACAAATAAATTAAACAAAAATACAAAATCGAGTTGAGAAAAAATATAAAGTAGGAAAAAAACATACTAAAAAACAAAAAAAACAAATAAAAAAGGAAAGACTGTAAATAAGCATATAAAATAATAAGACAACAGAGGAAAATGAAAAAGAACGAAAAACGAGCAAATGGTAACAAATTGAATTATGGCGAAGGAAGCTGAAAATAAATAAAAAATAAATGGAGGAATGGGGCGAAAAGATGGATGGATGGATGGATGGATCAGCATTACAGCAAATATAAAAGGCAACTGTTAAAAAATTGAAATGGCGATGTAAAGTGAGAAATAATTATAAAACAACACATAGAGAAGATAGACAGAGAAAAAAGAGAAAGATAAAGAAAAAGAGAGAGAGATTGGCGGGGAAAAATGATTACACAAAAAATAAAATAAACACAAAAAATAAAAAAAAGTCATGAATAACATTAAAGTCAACAGAAGCTTTATTGAAAAAAAGTTATTCACCTAGCCCAAATTTCACAAAACGTTTGAATTACAACCAAACTGCTAGCATAGAATGGACGAAATAATAATGGATTCAAATATTACAATGGCCTGACAGATGAATTGATTTGATAGCTGGATGGTTGAATGGATCGACGGATGGGGAGATGATTGGACGAATAAATGGATGATTAGATAATTGATCAAATAGATAGATAGATAGATGGATTGACTGACATAAAACGTGAACGAACGTGTAACTAGATGAATGAAAATCAACCAACACTAAAATAGAACAAAATTGAAAACGACAAGTATCTATATCTAAACAATAATGAGAGACTAGGATGGTAGAGAGAAAAACAAAACCAACAAAAAGTGGGAAGATGAAAAAAAAGAATGGGAAAAATGAAAAAATTTTAACTAAAAGGAATTT